GCTGATTGCGCTGACATTTTTGCCATGCATGTTAATTTGCAGAATCTCAGAAGATGCATACATTGCTTTTAACATGACCACTGTGTTGTGTTTTGACATGACCACTGTGTTGTGTTTGACATGGCCACTGTGTTGTGTTTGACATGACCGCTGTGTTGTCTTTTGACATGGCCTCTGTGTTGTCTTTTGACATGACTGCTGTGTTACATTTTGACATGACCACTGTGTTGTGTTTGACATGGCCACTGTGTTGTGTTTGACATGACCGCTGTGTTGTCTTTTGACATGGCCTCTGTGTTGTCTTTTGACATGACTGCTGTGTTACATTTTGACATGACCACTGTGTTGCGTTTTGACATGACCGCTGTGTTGTGTTTTGACATGACCGCTGTGTTGCGTTTTGACATGACCGCTGTGTTGCGTTTTGATATGACCGCTGTGTTGTGTTTTGACATGACCGCTGTGTTGCGTTTTGATATGACCGCTGTGTTGTGTTTTGACATGACCACTGTGTTGTGTTTGACATGACCACTGTGTTGCATTTTGACATGACCGCTGTGTTGCGTTTTGACATGACCACTGTGTTGTGTTTGACATGACCACTGTGTTGTCTTTTGACATGACCGCTGTGTTACATTTCGACATGACCGCTGTGTTGCGTTTTGACATGACCGCTGTGTTGCGTTTTGACATGACCGCTGTGTTGTGTTCAACATGACTGCCGTGTTACAGTCACAGACTGCAGTGCAGGGTTGGATCCAGCCTCTTCCTTGCTAGGCCCGTCCAGTCTTGTTCTGTGCAGCTTGCACTTTATGGCATTTTGGATAAAGTCCAAATCAAATGACTTGTGGCTCATTCTTGGGTAGTAAAAACTCGTCCACTCATTTCTAGTCACAGAATAAGTCTCAGTTCGGTAATTAAATATCTGGAGTCCAGGGCAGTAATCAGAGCATCTAGCTTCCCTTGAAGTCTGACTTCCCTCCTCCCATACCTGGGTCTGCTTTGCACTGGGTCACTGCGAGGCAGGACAGGAGGGAGGTGAGGGTGGCTTGTGCTCACCTCATCCTTCTCTACCCAACAAGTGCTGCGCACAAGGCAAAGCAGCTCTGGACTTCCCTGGGCTCCTGAAGCTGGCAGTGCCCAGGGCTTCTGGTCTTTCTCACAAGAGCTGCCCACAGTTGATCCGGGGGTACCCTTCTCTACAGCTTTCTCATCACGGGTCCCTGGACATGGGTCCACGTGTTCCTCTTAACTGCTCTGTACATCCAGACCTCACTCCTAACCTCTGCCCATTGTCTTCCTGAGGCTGCAGCAGGTGTGGTGAGCAACAGGTGCCCACCTGTTCAGAAGCCACTGAGCTGACTTTCCTCTAGTCTTCTGTACCCAGGGTGCCAAGCCCAAACCCACCGCTGGAGCCTCTCCCAAGGCATAGCAAGTGACAGGTATAGGCTTTGTCCCTCTGACCACACCCAAATCTTGCTAGTGATGATCAGGATAAGGGCTGGTCTCCAGAGATCATGGAATCCCACTGTGGGACCTTGAAGTCCTACTCTAACCTCTCAGTGAGTAGGTCTGATTTCAGTCACTTGGCCAATGACCTATCCAGCCATGTCTCCATAGTGATACGTCATTGAAACTGGATGACAAGCTGGGAATCTTCTGTCTGAAGGCATGTTCAGTTTCCAGGTGCCCAGAGAAGGCACACAGGGTTAGGCACTGTCCCCCACCCCAGGTCCAGTGTCGACGAGAGTCAGGAAGGTGTGAGGGAGCAAGGACAGAGACTACTTATTTAATGAAATGGCCTCACACTTCTCTATGCCTCGTTGGTAGACAAGCAAAGTGCTGATGGGACTTTAGACCATTAAATCTCCCCTGACAGCAGAAGACAGCAGGTAGCTGGTGAGGTGTGGACAGACTGACACTGGTGAGCTGAGGCCGGTGTCTTCACATTCAGATGGAACCTTTGGGGGAAGCATACCTGCGACTCCAGAAGGAAGCCCCTCCCCCACATCTCTCCTCAACATCTCTCCCAACGTCTCTCCCCAAAGCCTCTTCCCGTCTCTCCCCAACGTCTCTCCCCAACGTCTCTCCCCAACGTCTCTCCCCAAAGCCTCTTCCCAACGTCTCTCCCCAACGTCTCTCCCCCCAATATCTCTGGCTCATCTCTTCTTCATTTTTAGTGAATTCTTGCCCTTGGGGTCACAGGTAGATGGCCATTTCTCTAACCCGTGTCCTCTCTCTTCGCTCTTCTGTAGGATGGTGACATAGTTACCTGCTGGTCCTGTTCTGTGGAGGGTGGAAGCAGGAGTGACTGGGACTCAGGATGGGGACTGGTGCCCAGGTTCCTTGTACCTCACACTTTGGCAAGGAATGGTGTCTGGCTCAGAGTTCTAGAAATCCTTTTTTATTACATATTTATTTATTGTGTGTATGGATGTATGTACCATGGAGTGCGTGTAGCAATCAGAGGACAACTTACTGGAGTCAGTTTTTTCCTTCTACTGTGTAGGTTCTGGGGCTCAAGCTCAGGTCATCAGGCTTGGCACCAACGCCTTTACCCACTGAGCCACCTTGCTGGCCCGAGTTCTAGAACTCGATGCACTCAGCAGCTCTGCTTAGCGTCCCGGATGAGGGAATGCCTTGTGTGTAGTTTCTTGACTTAGATTTGGTTATCTGTTGAATGGAAAGCTGATAGGCCAAACCTATTTTTTTTCTATTTTGTCAGTATTGGGGGTCCACTCCCAGGTGTCCCACATACCAGACAAGAACTCTTCCACTGAGTCATACTTCAGTGCTATCCAAGCTGATCTTGAAATGGATCTGTAGACTGTGAGGCCAGGCCTGAAAGTCTCTTGGTGGAGGCTGTGGCAGGTTGTGCAGGAATTCTGTGGTCAGCATGGCTGAATGCTGTGTGAGAAGATGAGTAGAACATCCAGGAGGAGGAGGCCATGATGTCATGTTACATGCCAGCAGCTTGAGGGAGGTTGCTTCTTCAAGAACAGGGGCCAGACCTCTGTCCACAGAGGAGAATGCTAGCCAGGACATTCTGTAGAGTGTGGTACTCAAGGGCCTCACTGTGCTCATGACATCCCCTGAATGCTCACGCCCACTCCCAGACAGAGGGGAGGAGGCAGAGATGATCGTATGTGTTTCTGCCTGGTCCACATGCTGCACCTCTGGAGTATAGGACTGCTCATCCCTTGGCCAGAGCTTCCCAGCTGCTCTGTGTCTGAAACACAGCTGCTAACTGGGCATGCTTCAGTGAGGATCTTCCTCGTCCACAGCTCAGGAGAGGGATGCCCCACAGCCTCCGGGCTCTGCAACCACAGCCTTTAGGGCGAAGATGCCCATCATGGGTATGATGGTAACCTTACATAGGGTATAGGCTTCAGGCTTATATGGCCCCTTCCACCAACCTGCATAAAATAAGTGGAGAGAGCATGGTCCCAGCAGTGAGCTTGATGTTGGCCATGGGTAGAGCAGGAAAGACTGCAGGTGAAAGGTGCCAGGATGGCCTCTCCACTTTGCCCTATCACCTCTACCCTCCAGATGTTGGCTCCAGTGAGGCAGTCAGTCAATATTTGTGTGTTTGTGTTTGCATGTGTGTGCACACATGTGCATGTGTATGGGGTATGCACATACATGTGGAAAGCCAAGCCATTTCTGCCATTGCCTGCATTTCCCTCTGAGACCCTCCCGACAGCTTGATGCCAGCGGCTCTGGATCCAGCTTGGGAGATAGAAGTGTCATTTTGTCCTGTCTCTCAAACCGTGGGGTGCTTGCCTACACGTCCCTGCTGATCTCTCTCTGCTGTGGTGCTGGGTGCTTAGATGGTTTGGTTTCTTGTCTATTCTTGGCATTAAAATAGTCATCAGTCTTACTGTATTTTGTTCAAAATGTTTGCTTCTGCATAACGTAGAAACGTTAGGTAGACGTTTTAGAAAAAAATGAAAATATTAAATTGGTTTTCAGGTTTGGAGTTGCTGGTTTTGCCTTTTTCTTTATCTCCTCATTTATACAATTATTCTTTAAGTGAGCTGATGGAAAACCCAGCGCATTTGGTGATAAGCAAGTGTACTCCGCGGCCTGGCTAGCCTGGAGCTCACTGTGCCACTGGCAAGGCTGGCTGACCCAGGGTGCCCGTAGTGGTCACCAGCCGTCAAAGCTACAACAGGCTGGTTCTGTGTCTCTCTCAGATCCTTGTCCTTGGTGGGGAAGGAATGGACTCTATCCATCCTCAACCCGTGTAGCCTGGTCACACGGTATGACCACAGGTGATTTAGATACTAAGCACAAGCCTGTGGAGTTTGATTGCACTGAGGAAACTTCTGACTTCCTACAGGCCTGGGAACTGCTCCTCTGTTCTGGGTCCACCTGGGCTGAATCATTGGCAATGGTAACACTCTCACTGCCTCTCACTGTGTGCTGAATCACCAGAGGACTGCCCCAGTCCTGGACCATCCCTTTCAGGAACATTCTCCCGGAAGGGAGACCTTCTCCATCTAAAACATTGTGGGGGACACTCAGGGATAGACCTGAAAGAGAGGTATTCAAGTCAGGGCCATGGATGTCGGTGGTGGACACTGGCTGTGTCAGGCGGTGGCCCAGGTGCAAGACCTGAGACTGATGCTCGGCATCCCCAGCGTCAGAATAACATTATGACATTGTCATTAGACTGTAATTGAAAGGCCAGGACTGGGGCTGGAGAGACGGCTCAGCAGTTGGAGCACCGGCTGGTCTTTCAGAGGACCTGGGTTCAAGTCCCAGCATCCACATGGGGGCTAACAACCATCCATAACTCCAGTTCCAGAGGATCTGATGCCTTCTTCTGATCTCCGCTGCATTGCAGGACACAGGTGCACTTACATACATGCAGGCGATACATTCATACACCTAAAATAAAAGTAATAAAATATTAAAAAAAGAAAGGACTGCACTACCTGCCTACAAACTGTGCGGTGTCTGACATGGAACGTTAACACCTGCTGCTTTCGCCACAGATAAAAGCAAAGAGCACAGCCTTGTGTCCCGTCCTCCTGCCCTGATGCTGCGTGCCCCAGAGAGGAAGAACCTGGAGGGTGACAGAGAGGACAAGGTGAGTGTAGACCCTGAGCTTGTCGCAGAACCACATACCCCGGGGCCAGAGCATCTGGGGCCAGGGCACCCTCACACACACCTGGTTCCAACGTGTCATTTGTGAAACAGCTTTACCAGTCAGTCCTGAACCACACCTGAATCCAGGCTGGCAACTCCAGAACCCCAAGGGAAAGGAGGGTCCAGACAGGGCCAGCAGAGCATCCCAGAGGGCAGCCCTGCCCCACCCGAGCTCCTGGGCAGCATCTGCTGGGAGGGAGCTTGCCTTCCTGGAGGAGGGTCCAGACAGGGCCAGCAGAGCATCCCAGAGGGCAGCCCTGCCCCGCCCGAGCTCCTGGGCAGCCCCACCCGAGCTCCTGGGCAGCATCTGCTGGGAGGGAGCTTGCCTTCCTGTTCAGGTCACACTGTGTCTTCTTTCAAAATGAAGAAAAGGCATCTCTCTCGGTGCCATTCAGAGTTAGATGTTATTGTTGGAGAAATCCCAAGACACTGCTGCTCTTAAAATGTTCTAGTTTCAGGCTGTTCTCATCACACTTTTGCCAAATCGCCTTTTAAGGACTAGCCAGGGCGGTGTGTGGGATGTGGGGTGACAGCACAGTCCTGCCTCTGATATCCCAGAATTCCCTGTGCCCTATACCTGAGACTCACAAACTGCGGGTCATCTGCCCTACCCCATTTGATGCTGTGGAGCCTCTATGGCTCGGGACCTTTCAACGGCCTCTCCTACTTATCTTTCTGGGGTGCTTGTCCTGCACACCACTGTGAGTGCACTGTTCTTCCTGGTCCACACTCACCTATTAGCCTCATCTCAGGAAGTCATCACCCCACTGCTTATGTCTTACCGAGCTCTAGTATCAGTGTTTCAATGGCGAACACCAATGTGTTCACAAGCATGTGTTAGTGCAAATTAAACTTTTGCCCTGATCTGTGAGTTTTCCGGATTAGCATTTATACCAGTTACATATTAATTACCAGCCAGTCTGGTACCTTCTATAAATACACGCTCTACCACTGGGTTACTCAAGCCTAATTCACTTTTATTACTTCGTAGTGAAGCGGGAGTTTTATACCATGATTAGCCATTTTTATCACCAACAGGAAATCATAACCAGCATGTGCCTCATGAAGTAGACCTTGATAATTAGCTGGAGAGAATCCTAAGATTGCCAACTTTAGACATTGGTCCCATCACAAATTACACCCTACCGTATTTACTTGAATAATTTAGCAGAGGTAATTTGGTACTCAGAGGCTGTGTTCAGTTCTATTGTTCAATTAACTTCATAATGAAAACCCCCTCCAGTTTTCCTAATTGGATTAGCAATATAAAACTTGGCCACATATATATATTTTTTAAGCAAGTGTTTCTGAATACTCCCCATTAAGCCAATTATTTACCCTAACCTTATTTTCTTGTACAAAATGAAGATATTTTCTACTACCAGAAAGATCTGAAAAAAAAAAAAGCCCCACAAATCCTTGTTCTTATATAACTGTAAGGGATGACGTACAAGTTATAAATTGTTTACTAAGTGCAGTTAGTAGCCAAGAAGAATGGTTAGTAGCTACGAGAACTCCCACAGGGACACGGACACGTGCAGGGGTGCATTGTGTCTCAGCCGTACCCCCTTCAGGCTTGCCTTCAGCCCAGAATGGAGCAGGCTTTCTGGCCATCTGCGTCCATCGATTTCTTGTCCTGCTCTGTTGGAAGGGACCGGCTGTCCCTGTCTATAATGTAGTCAGCAGGAAGCGTTTTTGCCTTATTATCAAGGACATTACCAAAGAGTCAAGCTGGGCAGATTTGCTTTCTTCAGATTTATGACTTGATTTTTAAAAAAAATTATTTTGCGTTTTTTAACATTTTATTTATTATTTTTATTTTATGTATCATATTTTATTTTTTGCCTGCATGTATGTAAGTGCACCCATGTCATGCAATGCCTGAGGAAGTCAGAAAAGGGTGTCAGAGTTCCATCTGGAGCTGGAGTTACAGATGGTTGTTAACCACCATGTGGGTGCTGGGAACTGAACACATGTCTTCTGCAAGAGCAGCCAGTGCTCTCAACCTCTGAACCATCTCTCCAGCCCTGATTTATTTTGTTTTTAATTATGGGTATGTATGAATATACATCTGAGTGCAGTACCCCCAGACACCAGAAGGGGGTGTCAGATTCCCTGAAAAATGACCGCTAGACTGCTGTCTGAGCCAGGTGATCCAGAAAAGGGGACTCACCCTGAGCAACCAGACCTAAGGGCCCTGTTCTCACTTAAGAATGTGGATGAACTGGGTGTGGTATCTTGAGAAAAGCTCTGTGGCTCACATTGGAAATTCCAGCACTCAGGAGATTGAGGCAGGAGGATCACTGTGAGTGTGAGTCCAGCCTGGGATACATAATGACTTCCAGGCCAGCCTGGGCTAGAGTGGGCTTGTCACTTCCCATGCCATAATGAACCTGGATGTGTCAGCCCCAGCTATGTCAAGGCCATCTTGCAGCTGGAGGTTCTCTGTCTCTATACACAGTGCTCCATGCACATTGACTCTAGCTGATGAACACTGGAGGATTCCAGTGAGATTTTTCCACCCCACCCTGTGGATCTGCAGCACCCTCATGGCTCCCCTGCCTGGATCTGAGCAGACAACAGGGGACACTAAAGAGTGCCTTGTGTGGGTTGTTTGCCCTGTCTGCAGTGCAGTCCAGTGTCAATTCTAGCCTTCGCTGTGACTGTCCATTCTGGGCTGTTTTGCTGGTATCCAGTGACTGCTCGAGGCATCCCCATGTGCAGGGGACTGTGTTACTTTCCTCTTTGTTCCTGTAACTGAGGGAGTATTCAGGATTAAAACAGCCCTGTCTCTCCTCTTTTTTTTTGAAAGGAGCCTCCACCTGTGCTGGTAAAACGGGAGGACACGGAAGCCAAAGGCAGTAGACCTGTGGCCTCGACGCCAGTGCCCGGATCCCCCTGGTAAGACACCCTGAAACTGGAAAGCAGTAAGACTTGACTTTACCTTGTCCAGTGTCTGCTTGATGTCATCAAAGAGAGAGTGCATGCTCCTTCAGTGTGGGCCTTAAAAAATGAATTACTCTCTTGACCCAGAAAACCCTACAAAATCATGCAAATCAAGAGGTTCCAACCTTTGTGCTCACTTTAAGAACGCACGTGAAATGGCCCAGGCCATCAAGGGTGTGCGTATCCAAAAAGCCACCAAGTATCTGAAAGATGTCACTTTAAAGAAGCAGTGTATGCCGTTCCAGCATTATAACGGTGGAGTTGGTAGGTGTGCCCAGGCCAAACAGTGGGGCTGGACACAAGGTCGGTGGCCCAAAAAGAGTGCGGAATTTTTGCTGCACATGCTTAAAAATGCAGAAGGTAACGCTGAACTTAAGGGTTTAGCTGTAGACTCTCTGGTCATTGAGCACATCCAGGTGAACAAATCGCCCAAGATGCACAGCAGAACTTACAGAGCTCGTGGTCGCATTAACCACACATGAGCTCCCCCTGCCACATTGAGATGATCCTCACTGAAAAGGAACAAACTGTTCCTAAGCCTGAAGAGGAAGTTGCACAAAAGAAAAAGAAATCCCAGAAGAAACTGAAGAAACAAAACTTACGGCCCGGGAATACATTGAGCATAAAATAAACGCAGATAAAAGTAAAAACAAAAAAAAAGACTCTCCAGTGCATAGCCTGCATAATTTCTACTGTCACATCTGTGAAAAGAAAGATGACACTTAAGTGGTGAAATTCTTCTGCTAGTGTATTTTTGTGCATTAAAACAGCAACATTGTCACATGCAGATCAGTGAGAGTCAGTTACTCAAGGTAAATGTAGCATCCTGTAAGCTGCCCGGGAGTTTCTTCCCTCTCTGCAAGAAGGAACACAAGGGCGTGGATGTTCATTAAAGGCGCGTCTCACTCTCTCCTGCTGTTCTCAGAGGATTCTGATCTCTGAGTATGCCTTACTCCAAAGGACCCTCAACTAGGGAGCTTCCGTCTTTTGGTTTTTAAAATTACCCTTTTCTAATGGAGCAATTTGGAACCAGGATAAAAAGGGTATTATATTAAAAATAAGTTCTAAAACCTGACAATTGGAGTGTAATACACAGATGTGAGGAAATGCAAATCCAACCAGGAGAAGTATCAGTGGAGGCATAGAGTACCAGGGCAGCACACACTCGGGAAACAGCAGCAGGACATCAGGCTATCAGGGCAACACACCCTCCGGGAACAGCCATGGGGGCATCAGAGTAATGCATGCTCAAAGAACTGTGAGGCGTGCATCGGGAAGAGTGGCCCGCTCACGGCCCCACGTACACTGTGCAGGGTCTGTGGAGCCCTGTCCTGCTGTCTGTCCTAATTAGAGAGATGACACAGATGACATGTCTTCTTATTCACAGGGCAGTGTCGGTGCCCCAGCACCGGCAGCCTCCCCTTCTCCACCCTCAGCTTAAAGCGCTCTGCAGCCAACAGTGCCTGGGAGCCGCCTCCCCAAGCCTACCAGGTCCCAGTGCTCTCAGTGACTGTTGATCAGTTCAATTCTGACTTCAGCTACTGGGTTAGGGCTTAAGACTCAGCCCCAGGAGAGTGCCTCATGAAGATGCCAACAGTCCAGGGCCCCTGCAGGCTACCAACAGTCTACCCAGCTGATTACAAATCCAGGGCCTCCCACTGTGGGCCTCCCCTCGGCTTCCGTGATGATTCTCTAGAATGACTCACAGGACTCAGAAAAGTGCTTTAGCTGTGATTAGCTATGATTGCAGTTTTATTATGAAGGATATGACTCAGGGGCTATGAATGGAAGAGGAACACAGGGCACTGGGGTGGGACAGTGCATAATGCTTGCCTTCCCTGAACACCTACCTGGCAAGTGAACATGCTTTCAGGGCAGTAAGATCCTTAGCTTGTCCTGCAGTTTCACCATGGAGACATGATTGGATAGGTCAATGGCCAAGCTGTTGAACTCATACCCACCTTCCTGGGAGGTGGAGGCGGGCCTACAAGTTCCCACAGTGGGATTCTATGATCTTTGGAGACCAACCTCCATCCTGAACATCACTAGTGAGACTCGAGTGTGGTCAGAGGAGCAAAGCATGTTCCTGTAACTCAGCAAGTCCCAGAGTCTCAGGAACTAGGTGGCAGGACCCAGAAGAGAGGCTATGCATAGAAGGAGATGATATGTTGTTCATTCCACATGTTTCACACATGTCTCTAAGGTAGGGACACTACGGTCACAGCTCCCATGGAGTCACCCTCATGGTTGTAACTACGGATGTGGCCTTGAACACTAGAACCTTCTAACTGAGATCTCTGTGGCTTGCCTTCCTCTGATTTGGTGCCTTACTACAGAATGCTATGCGTGACCTGGCAGTCAGCAGGGTTCCTGGGCTCTGGCTCCCCCACACTCCTGCTACAACAGATGCTTGGGAGTCACAGAGGGGGGCTTGATCCAATTGGAATGGAACACCCTGACCCAGAATTGCATAGTTATTAGGCTTTTAAGAGTGGAACAACCAGTTGGAGATACTCAGAAGATGAAATGAACAAGAACGTAGAGCCAGTGGGGAGGAAGGCCTTCATTGGGTTAGCCAGGGCAGGGCTGTGAGGGTCAGGTGCAACTAGAAAGGGTTTGGGCTTAACAGGAGGGGAGAGCCACAGAGATCCCACTGGATATGCAAACCCCTCATCTCCTGCTGCCTGAGGCTGGTAGAGGGCTGCTCCTGGCCCCTCATGTCTCAGTGATAGACACAGACGATCTACAGCAGAGCCCAGCTGGGTACTGCATAGGACAGCCAGCCACAAGAGGAATGCTAAATACCCACATGTGGGTAGAAGAGGTTCATTCCATGGACCAGTCATAAGTGAGCTTCCTTCCTCAGAAGCTGCTGCTTCCCTTGCATCCTTTGCTTTGTGGGTCTCTAACTTCAGTTCCACTTTAGCTAGAGCACTTTATTTGCTGAGTGTCCCTTTGGCAAAGGATGTGTGTGTGTTCAAAGGCCCTCACCAGACCTGGATACTCCTCAGGGAGGGGAAGCTGCCAGAACTCAGGTATGTTGCTGGTGTGGATGAGAGGGACTTTGAAGATGCCTGGAGTGACAGCCTTATTAATCCTGGTATCACACATGCAGAATCCTGGGGGCCAGACACTTTCTGACACACTATCCACCCCAAGGACAGAGTTCCTCTGCATGGGGAGCCACAATCAACTGCCTCCATTAGGACAAATCATTGCTGCCACTCTTGGGGTTCACCAGTGTCAAGTTATCCATAGTCAACTAGATACTCTGGGAACCTCCAGAGGCACAGGAGCAGGACATCAGCTCCTTCACCTGCCTCTGTTGTCCTGGCCCACCTGCACTGGCCCATGGCTATGTAAAGGAGTCCTCAGGGCAGGAAGAATGTCCTCCATAGTCAGGGGCTCCCCTGAACTAACTGCTGTTGAGCAACCCCATTCAAGTCAAAATCAGATGCTCATTGGTAGACAAGGGCAGGCCAAGATGAATGCAGCTCAGCGGGCGGTGATGACCCCACACCAGCTTCAGTCTGTCACAGCCCAAACCCAGGGAGCTCTGGGGCCTCTGTCACAGCCCTGGGCATCCCCCACAGTGACTGGTGGAGGAGCTCTCACCTGGTTGTGGGCAGGTTGTGGTTTCCTGTTTGTCTAGAGCCAACAATCTCTAGGGTATTGGCCCTTCATCCTGCTGAGGCCTGGAAGGCTGTTGTGACTGGTGGAAAACAGGACAAGGGGACATGGTCCTAAGGGGAGCAGCGGGGAGGGTGACAGGTGACAGGACGTACAGGTAGGGGGCAGACAAGGCCCCAGGGGTCCCTTGCTTCTCCTGGCTAATTGCTCAAGTGCTCTGCCTATGTCCAATGGAATCCTATTCTTCTTGTTCCCATGATGGGGCATCTCTTGCCTGTGGTTTCTGGCCAGTTAAGCATAGGCCCTGAGCAGTAGGATCAGTGCGGAGGACACAGGCAACCAGCCTGGGTCGGACCCTCAAAGCAGACGCTTTGGCAGCAGGACAGAAATCTCAGACCAGCAGCCTCCTGAGGCCCCCCGGGCAGAGGTGACGCGCCGTTCAACAGAGCTGACTTGGATGCAGGGGTGATCACCCTGATCCTCAGAGCTGCCTGGGTGACTGGGACCAGAGCAAACAAATAGGAAGTTATGGAATTCTTCAAAACATGAAAACAAAGTTTACGTGTTGATGCTTCATTATGCCTGTGTGTTTTATCAGACTGAGCTAAGGTGTGGGGTGTCTGAGGGGACTTCACAGCTGCGCAGACAATTGCAGGACTGAGGGTAAAGACCAGGCAGCATGTTTCTTATTGGCACCCGAGGAAGTGGTGAGGTTGTACAGTGGTTTTAATGTGGGAGAGAAGGGTGTATCTGTCCTCCACAGGACCACAACACGTAGAGCTCAGTGAACCCAAGCACGGTGCTAAAAGCTGTGGGAACGTCCTAGGTTCTTCCTGTGTGGGAGTCCCTCCTCTAGGCCAATTGCCAAGAGATGGCCAGATGGATGATCTCCCAAAGCATTAGCGTAACACTAAGCACTTGAGAAACAGAGCATCGATTCCCTGATCTTCTCCCCTGAATAGAAGTGGAGCGAAGGCCATTGGCCTGTCTTCTCAAAGTGGGTGCCAGTTTAGCTATTAAAAATGGTCCTTGAGTCCAGATTGATGACTTCAGCCAACTCTTCAGTTCAAAAAGGCACACAACTTAGTGCTGTTGGGTGGTTTCAAGAGACCCAGAATCTAGGCACAGCCTTCAAAGAGCTAAGGAGTGAAGTGTGTGTGCGCCCACTTCCACACAAAGTGAGGCCATGTCTGTCTCTGCGTCAGGAGGCTGAGCGTGGAGCTTGACCTCCGGCCCTTCTGAAGGAGCTGAGCTACTATGTTTCTCATTGAAATGCTTTTCTTAGAATCGTTGATGACATGGGGACATTCAAAGGTAATTGCTAA